GAGTGGTCATGTTTCTGGCTTAGGAATTTCAGGCAGGAACTGTTTGTCAGGGACAGCAAGTCCCCAGGAACCCTGAAATCACACCTATAGGGGTTTTTCTACAAACCCCAAATGCTTCTCTAAGGTGACAAAGAACATGGTCTGTGACCTTCCCCTGTTCCCAACTCTCACCTCTTGAGCTAGTAGTTGGTTGGCAAAGAACAAGTCCTTGGTCACAGGGCCAGTAAAACTGCCATGACCCCACAGCTCACCTTTGTTCTGTCTTGTTTCCCCGGAAGGGCTTAACTCTGAAAAAGCTGAAACATCTGGTTTCTGAGAGTTCAGGAGGCAGGCAGCAGCGTGTCCTGCTACTGTGGGCAATGGTTTTTATTTCCAGATTTGTCTTTGTCTTCTCTGAATCCTTGGTCTTCTTGGGCAGTTTTGGGTTGTAAGAGAGAGAGAGTGGGCAGAGACTTATTTTACCAGATTAGGGAGATGCCAAGGCTCAACCTAGCCTCATCCACAATAAGGGGCTGCTGCTGGCTATTCCTCTCACTCAGCCCTCCTCCTCCCCTGCAGCCCCTTCTTACTCCTCTGGGACAGATCATATCTGGCTCTGGTTCTGTTCTGAGGACAGGAACTCCTGGGACAGCTACTCCTGCATTAGGTCAAATACATTTCCTGTTGATTTGATTAGTTTCCTTCCAAACAGTGCATTTATGGAAGGAACAGAGCTTTTGTAGGCATGCTAACCTCCTCCAGTCACACAAACACACACACACACACACACACACACACACACACATGCCCACACGCACACACTTTCTCCCCATCCACCCACAAAGCATCAGTCACATTTAGAATTTGCACAAATGCACACCCTCCCTCATACATCACAATGCACACCCTCTCATCCACCTACACATCTCTTCCACAAAATCACACCTGCACACATACCCTTAGAAGTACATTTCTACACTGTGTCCAGAGACAGAAAGATGAGGGAGAAAGGCAAGGAGAGTGGGCTATGAGCACTCAGGGGGCCAAACACTCTCTGAAATAGCTGAAAAGTCAAGACCAGACCCCACAGTCCCCTCTGCCCCATAAGTAGAAATCTAAGAAAATAGACAGGGATTCAGAATCAGGGGTACAGGAAGCAAGAAATCAGGGGTCCTTGCCACATACAGAAAGTGTGCTGCACCAGGTGACAGTGATGTGTCTCAGACCAGCAGCTGAGATGGGAAGTTTGTCAAGGCTGGAAGTGAAGGCTGCAGTGGCATCTATGACATGTCTGAGAAGCTCATTTTGACGGTCCCAAAAGATGGCTGTTGGGCTAGGATTGCCTGTAAACTCAGGAAATGATGGGGAGGGAATGAAAGGAAGTGGAAGGCTGGGTTTCAGCTCTGGGTTCAACATACTCTAGCAGGAGTCTTATGACAGCTGGTATCAGCAGGAGGAGGCTCCCCTTCACTGGAAACTTGAGGTCCCCCCCAAAGAAAAGAGGTGGGGGAGTGGACCTTGAGAAGTGACAAGTGCCCAAGTGCAGCCCCAGCAGTTCTGGCTTCAGTCCCAGACTGACGTCCGCCTACCCGGATCCAACTCAGCCCAGACTCAAACTGTGGAGTCTGGAAAGGAGCAAGTCTGTTCCTTTAGGAGAGGGCCCTGACCACAGTGCCCAGGAAAATTGGCTGAGAGCTCAATTAAACCGAGTCGTCAGGCCCACCATGCAACTCCACGGTGCCTCCTGAGTCTCTCCCTGTGCTGCCGCCTGGGGGCGCCCCCAGCTGGGTCGGAGGTTGCCGCAGGCGCTGCTGTTGTTGTTATCACTAGTCTAATTAATAAACAAGCACTGTTGTGGCCAAGTGGAGGAAGAGGCAGGCCCCTGCTGCTAGAGGATTCAAGGAGAATCCCTGGAAAGATCTTGTGAGGCTGTGGCCACAGGGGCTGAGTAACCAGTCCCTCCTCTCCGCCTGACTTCTGGGGGGGGGGGGCTTGTGGAGTGGGCTCTAGGGGGCAGGTTGAGAGGCAAGGGCAAGGGGAGAGGAACACTTGGCAGGCTTGGTTTGGAACCAGTTCTGCATCTGCCTGACAGGATGTCTGTGGGCCAAGGCCACCCCGTGATTACTGGTTGCAGATCAGGCTCTGAGGCAATTATTCATTCATTTAACAGGCACCTGCCTATTTATGGAATGCCTACTGTGTGCAAGGTAGTCTATTAATAATAGCTAATGTTTAATTGACAATGTGAGGACACAGCCAATTTTCACACCAGGTCCTGGGGAAAGGCGTAGAAGCAGGGGAAGCAACTAAACAGAACGACAGCCCAAAAAGATATGGGCGATTGGGCTTTGACCTGTGTCGTGTAGCAGTGGGCAAATACAAACCTGGAGATTACTGAGATCTTGGAAAACCCAAAACCCAAGACCCAAGTAGGAAGACATGCAGGAAGGTAGTCTGGAGAAAATGGTCATTTTCCCGTAGGAGGATACTTGAAGATGAGGGCATGGGTAACAGCACAAATATGGGGCATTTGGGCGAGAAAGGCTCAGTGAACGAGGCAAATCCTGCAGGGGGAGCCCTGATGGTTGGGAGTGTCTAGGGGAATGAGGTGCTTTAAGTTCTGAAAGGGGGGTGCTGGATTCTAGAATCAGAGTCCGGGCAGAAGTTGGGGTGTGGTAGGGGCTGCCAGCGAGGTTTGGAGGGAAGGATCTGGAGTGTTGGTTTGGAAAAGATGTGGGAGTGTATTTAGGGAAAGGAGGGGCGTGGCAGGGGTGCCCAGCCAGGGGACCGAGCCAGATCCTCGGGTTGGGCACTGGGCTAGCCAGGGCAGGGGTGCCGGCC